AGCTGTTGGACAGATAATGCTGCAACTGAAGCAGATTGTTTCTCCTTTTGAAATTTTGACTTCGCTAGAGATTTCTCAACGTCCTTGTTTCGTGCATCAAAACCAGGTGGACAAGTAGGTACATGACTGGACTCTCCGGGTGTGAATGTCTCCAACTTGTTCATAAGTTGAGCAATATGAAGATTTTTGTCATCAATGGATTTTTTCAAGGCTTCAATGGTTTGATCCATCATTGCAAACTTCTCGTCCATGTCGATTGAGTCAGACATCAATGCATTGACATTCATTGAAGTTGGAGAATCCAGTGAATCTTCGGATTCACCAAAGTTGGAGCCAATTTGAGAAAATTCTCCAAAGAACACGGATGCAAGATTGCCCCTAGGTGTTGCAGTTATGACAATCGTATGAGAGTTGTTGTTTTTGATCGTCTCCAAAGAAGTGAAGTATACGATCCATCTAGCCCATTGTTCTTGAACTTATGCCGAGTAATTGGGCCAACATGATTGAGATCAGTAGATACGACACCACTGGAGTCTTTGTATGAAAAAACACTACTCTTTCTGAAGGCCATTACAGTAGTTGACTTTGTAGTTTGTGGTTTACAAGAGAAAGAGATGAAGAGCACAATCGATCCCGCTTGGCGTGCCAAATTTGTTCGCAACAAATTTTCGTAAGCGCTGAAAATTAACTGCAAGCAAAATAAATAAAAGAAAATTGTGATTTTTATTAATGAATCTTGTGAATACAATTCTGGTGTTCTCTTGATTCTTCACTCCTAAACTTCTCTGTGATTCGAGAGCCTTCAGTAGCGTATTTCTCGAATGTAGAAAGATGTATACCTCCTTGAGATGTATTTGATCTCCGAAAACGTCGAGAAGTACTTCGTGGTTTCAAGTCGATCTCCGAGAAGAACTCTGTTGACAACTCCTTTGAAGAACTATGTAGCTGGTGTTGTAGCGTTCTCCAATCCTTACATAATGCTTATTGAAGAGTTTTCTTAATGCCTAAGAATGTCATGTACATCCCCTATTTATAGAAGTAAGGGGTGGACAAGGTTGCATGTGATTGGCCAAAGGATGTCATTTTGACACTTGGCGGATTGTGATTGGTTCTTGCAGTTGATTGGGAGTACCATCTCATTTTGACACGTGGCGCTGCTTTATTGGTCTTGAATGCCTAGTCACTGTGACACATGGCATGAGTTTGGGCTTCAAGGTGAAATTGACCTTAGATTTGAATATAATAAAATAGACTTATTTATTTGTAAAACCCAAATTAATCATTCAACCCAAATGAACATGGATTTAATTCGAATTTCGTATGAATTTAATCCAATAAAATTTATGTGTCTACAATAACTTTTGAAAAATTAACCTTTTAAAGTCAAACTTAAATGACTCTTAAGTCAAAAGATAAAAAATAGAGAGAGTCCTACTTTTTGACTTTTTAACTTATTTTAAAGTCATTTTAAACTTATTTTAAGTTATTTTTAAATTTGTCAAACCGTCTTAAAAACTAAAAATGACTTAAAAGTATAATATCATAGTGTCATTGATGGAAGCTTATAATTATTTAGGAATATATTGTTTGGTGATAATATTTGGAATTGTTGTAATTGAGGTTGAACTCCTTTTGATGCAAAAGATAAAAAGGTCTATTAAATGTAAGGTCTAAATTCCACTACATATAATATATGTATAGTTATTTATATGCATATGTTTTGGTATATAAATTCGTACAATCTCATGAGTCATGATATTGATCATTGATTCCAACAATAAGAACCATGCATTTTTTTTTTGTTTCTGAGCGGATATTAAACTCAAGGTTGTGTTTGTTAAGGATGGAAAACATTATACCCCGTACTATTTGAAAAGGTTTAAAAATACCCCTTATTCATCTATTTGGCTAAAAATACCCTTCTATCCATATTCACTTCTACCCTTAAAACTAACAGCCACTTTTTATTATTATTATTATTTATTACCTGGCTCCTCCCTATTGGACAAAATTAAAACCCTCACCCACCAAAAATCTTCCTTCCAAAAAGATCTGCATACTGTTGGGCTATTTGGGAGTTATGTAGGCAGAAATCCAAATCACCAATCTAACAGTAAAATCGAATAAAAATGAACCAAAAACCTTTTGGATCAACAAAAAGATTCCCGGAATTGAGAATTCAACAGTAAAACGACTATGTATTCCTGGTGATCATCAGATAATTACTTGTTGATGGAGGGTGGTGGCATGTTCTACAATTAATCATATGGGATGGGGTTTAATTTTGTCCAATAGGGAGGAGCCATGTAATTAATATTATTAAAAATAATTTTAAAAAAGTGGATAGAAAGGTATGAAGGTATTTTTAAACCTTAACAAATAGTACAGGGGAATCATTGGCCCTTTTCTGTATATCGAATAGAGACAACGGACTTCTCATATTAGTTGTCTACATTACTAAAAATAGTTATATCAAATTATTTGTTACTCCCTCTGTCCCTAATTACTTGTCCACTTTTCCTTTTTTAGTTGTCCAGATAATTTTTTTACCTATTATACCCTGAATTAATTACTTTGAAAAGGTAGAACTTTTTTAAAATCTTACGTCTTTAATTCATCCACTTTATAATTAATAGGGGTAAAATGGTAAACTCACTATGTCAATCGTTGTATTCTTAATATGTGTGTCAATTCAAAAGTGAACAAGTAATTAGGGATAGAGGAAGTAATTTTCAAAACCACGAGAGAATTAATTACATTTTTTTCATTTTACCCTTACAATTAATTTATTTTTAAAAGTGTAAACAAGTTGCAAAAAAGTTTATTAAAGAGTAAACTAATACTCTCTCCATTTCTAAATAAGTGTTGCTTTTAATTTGGACAAACCTATTAAGAAACTACTCATTCCTAGAAAACAAATTATGTTTTGACTAATCTACCCTTAATAAATACCTTGAAAAAAATGTAACCCTTAGTAGTTTTTTAATTATGTAAAATTTTCTTTATCTAAAATTACCCCTGAACTATACGAAATAAACCACTTATATCATCTGTTACGTTTTGGGATAAAAATGTCTCCCTTGTTATTCCATGATACCACAAATACCTTCAAGAGTTAACAACCCAAATTTTAGTGACATGGCAAGCCACGTGGGACTAATTCATCCACCTAAGCATTGCCAACTAGAATAATTATAGAGATAACTGTCAAAACACACCTAAACTATTTTAATTTTTTTGAGTTTCATACCTAAACTATTTGGAGTGTGAGTTTCATACCTAAATTATCACTTATTACTTTGAGAAACATACCTCAGTGGTGTGTGTAATACACACTCTTTTATTTGCAAAAAACCTTGCCACATCGACAAAATATTCTATTTTGATGAAAAAAAATAAACTATTAATATTAGTTAAAAGCTAAAGATTAAAGTATTACTATCCCAAAAAAAAAATTATTTTTTAAAAACATAAAATTTAAAATGTTTTTCTCATCTCCTCCTCCTCCCTCCCCCCCCCCCCCCCCCCCGGATAATCCCTCCATCCTTTTATTTTTTAAAATTATTTTATAAAATATTTTTTAAAAAAATCAGATCTCACCCCCTCCCCGACTCCTTCCTAAAAAAATTAATATTAAAAAAAATTCTACCCCACCCCATCTAATCCTCCGCTCCTAATTTATTTTTTTATTGTTTTTACATTTTTCTTATTTTATGTTAGATGTGTACATATATTTTCAGGAAAATATTTTTTTCTACTTGTGTACCGAATATAACAGAAATAAAAAAATTATTTTAAAAAAAGTCTTGCGGCAAGTGAAGAATAGATTTTTAAATATATATAATACAAAACAAGGAAAAACAATTAAAAGCATATTATTTCAAGGGATTTTGAGGGGGGGGGGAGGGTACGGTTAGAGGAAGTGGTGGGGTGGGGTGAGAAAACTATTTTACATTTTATTTTATATTTTTTGGGGGGAATAGTAATACTTTAATATTTAACTTTAACTAATACTAATAATTTATTTATTTTTTGTCAAGGTGGAATGTTTTTTTCCATGTGAAGTGTGATGCGATAATTTTCCTAAATAAAAGAAAGAGTGTATTACACACACCATAATAAGAATGTAATAAAAGAGAGATGTGTTTCTCAAACTAATAAGTAATAATTTCAGTATAAAACTTACACTCTCAATAATTTAAATATGAAACTCAAAAATAAAAGGGATAGTTCAAGTGTGTTTGACCCTTATCTCCTGATTATAGTTGGCTACACTTTTAGTTAATATGTAAAGGAAATAGTGAACAACTAATATGGGGGAGCAATTATCATTTTTAGTTTTCTTGATATGTTAAAGTAAAAGTAAAACCTATTTGAGAAATACTAGATAAGTAAAAGTAATCGAAGGAAGTATATCATTTCTTCACTTTATATATCACAACTTTGACCAAAACTTAGACAATATATCAACTTTAAATTAAAAAAATTCCATCAAACAATATTTGGTTTGCTATGTTGTTTTTATGAATCCAGTTGCTAATATTATTTAAAATCCTTAGTAAATGGTTAAAAGTTCTCTCTCCAACTAAACAGGTACATTTTTCCATCATACCAAACACACCTAGATAACAAAGTTAAAACTGAAACTCATTGATACAGGGGAAGCTGAAATCTGCATTTTGAAGAAACAAACTCTAAGTTCTTGTCAGTGTATTTCTGGAATGAGAATTCTCAATTGCTCTTCCTCGCGATGCCTGACGAGGAATAGTACGTGAATGGTGGTTAGAATCATTCCTCTAAATACAGAAAAAAATAATAGTTTCATCATATAAGTTGGGCAAAGAAATCAAGTTTACATATAGCAGAACAAAACTAAGTTTTTACCCCTAACAAATTCATAGATGAATGGATCGCATAGGAAAAGGCCGAAGCCATTCTTCAACCTTATTGAGCTTGCTCGTCTTCTTAAGATTAAATAGACGATGATGCAGGATCATGTGATCCCATAAATAAAACCTCAAAAGATTTCTTGCCCTGCTGTTAGAGTGACTCTTCTCTGCTTTTGGAATGTACAAGGCTAATCAGTAACGCTAACACGGATGTTGAATCTATCCATTCATGAAGAAATCAAATTATACCATTACTTGATCATCTACCAAATTACCTTTGATGTTGTTCACCTCTTGGCTTTGATTTCTTCTTTTCATCCTTCGTTCTTGATGTTTTAACAGCTGCACATAATGAATCAGTGACATTAATCTAATTGGTGATTAAAACAAAACTGCCAAAAAATAAGAAAAATTAAGGTAAGAATTTATATCAGGAAATTGATGGAAGACTTGTGTCTGGATATGAATGGATGCCAATGGTGTATATTTCACTCGTTGGTTGATATAAATATATAATGTTGAAAAATACCATGAAAAATATCCACGTATAAATAAGACCAACTAATAGAAAGGACAAAAACGGATTAATGCAAATTCCACACAACTAACTGGAGGCCTCAAAAGAAAATGTGTAATGATTAAAACAGGGAACTTTCTTCTTTATGAAAAATAAGTGATAAACCAATGCAACCTTGAAGTTCCTTTCCTATGTGTTTCAGAACCCCACTAGTTGTTGGGGTTGACTCTAATGATAGAGTTAATGTTATGATATTATTGCAAGGAATGGGACTTAAGAGTTGAACCATATGTTGTGTGTCCCACATCGGTTACATGTGGAACTGAAGTGGGGCTTATATAGCCTTGGGTTCTCCCACCTTAATAGCCAGCTTTTAGGGTGTGTTTCTACTAAGGTTGTATCAATGGTATCAGAACCACCCATCACTCTCCATGCCCACTGTGCCTTGGATGGTGACGCCGGTATGGCAGTGTTTGGCCGGGGCTAGCAATGTCTAGCTCACAGCTGTTGAGGACGACGATGTGGAGCGTGGTGGTTTGTTATGATATTATTGCAAGGAATGGGACTTGAGTTCCACATCGGTTTAATGAGGAACTGATGTGGGGCTTATATAGCCTTGGGCTCTCCCAACTTGATAGCTATAAGATAATCTGACTAAATGAACCGCACTTCCTCCAGCAGATATGGGCGATAAAACAATGTGTTTCTCTTCACTTTTAATATGAGCTCATAAATGGATCATGTAGAAGCACAAAACGCCATCTAAATCATCGTAAAAGGAAGCTAGCAACAATAGAATGCACCTTTGATATTTCTGACTGCATTTTTAACTTGCGATCGAAAGCAACAATCAGACAGAAAAGTATCTAATTCTATTTTCACTTGATAATATGGCAAGTAATTGCCTTTGTTTGGGATAATACTATACCTATAGATTGGATTGGCATGTTATGGCTGAAGGTTTTGGTTTTATCTTTGAAAAAAAGCTATTTATAAATGAAAATGAAAGTCTTTTATAGATTAAAGTAGTTTTGGCTGGGGATCTGTTTCTTTACTTGTATTTATCCTCACCTCTTCCTGCATTGACCAATGTTTACAGCATGCATACATGCAGCATTTTTGTTCTTAAAGTGGGCTGTGTGGTTTGGCACTCCATGTCATGTAGCTTAATACCTTGATCTATAATGCACCTGCATGATATTTACTGTTAATACCAATGGAGCGGATAGATACAAGAATAACAAAACAAGGGAACCATTTATAGGCAGGAAAGGTAATAAAATAGTGGAAAGAGAATGAAATGAAAAAAAGAATTAAACAAAGAAGAAAAGAGTGAGAGTAAAGAGCATATTGGTGTCATAGCTTCACCATAGCAACTCAATGAAGAATAAGAGGCAAAACAAGAGAGGGACAACAGGGAGAAGAAGACGACCATTTATGTCCACAACACACTCCAGTCACCTTGATCTGAATTCTAGTATGCTATCCACAAAATCTCCTTTTTGTTTTTGATAAATACTATGTAAATTTCTTTTATGGTTTCCTTAACTTTTCTTTTCACTTTGACTATTTTGCTGTTTGTTCTGATCTTTCGCTATATACTATCTTCTTAAATATTAATGAATTGTATATTTTTGGCAGACATGTTTTTCCAGTACAGTGTTAGATTGTATTCAAAATGATAATGATTCTCTCTGATTCTGGTCAACTTCATAATTAACAGATTCATCAATTGCGGGGTTGACTTAAATAACAGAAAGAAAGAAAGACCTGCAAATTTACATTCATAAAAGTGGTAAATTGCATTCTTTAACATATTATGATTATTTAATGGTTTCTGAAAAGTCAAACTCCATAGATGCAAATAGAGGACATTGAACATGCACTATTCATCACAAATAGGGGTTATATACCATGAATGGTACTGAATGCTAAGCACCAAATCAGCCCACATACTGGAATTTAGTCTTTTACTTGGCAAAAGATAAACATTATTTTCCTACAATCTGTAGTTGCCCCTAATACGAGTAAGATGGTCCTTTGTTCACTTTACCAATAATATAAGCTAGTGAGAGGTCAATGCTAAGGAGTAGAACAGTTCATAAAGAAGACAATTCCTAACAAAGACAGAGAATTTTAAATTTTAACAGTACACAATAGCAAGTAAAACAGTTAGACATAGTGCCAACAGAAAAGACAGGTGAATCAAGAATAGTGGACATCAAGTGCAAACATGGACATTATAATCCTTAATTATTGAATGGGTCAGTAACAGGGCCATCCATGTATGACACAACTAGAAAGGCCATTACCTGGATGCCTGCAGCCAGCTCCTTTTCGTTTCACTCAAAGTTAACACATTTAGAACTGGTACTCATCTTAACTTAAGCAGGAGACTGTGCTTTAAAGAGATTTCAAGCTTTAGACATTCCTTTGTCAATGCTACCAGATGGAACGACTCAGGATATCTCACTTAATCAGGATATAACTCTCTTTTCAGATCTTTCCAGACTTCAAGGCCTTTAGGATGAGGATTTACATAAGTCTTCATGAATAATTTCTCTGAGGAAGCTATGATAGTGCTCAAAGACAATGTTGGGTCAACTTTTCCTTGATCTTTGAGCCAATTATACATTGAAAGCCTAAGTGTGGTTCTTGGAATTGTGTAGTTTAGGTAGGATGGAAACGAAACTAAAGTAGACAGTGGAAGACCCAATGTATTCAATAGAAAATCAATCTTTGCCTCAAGTACCTCTTTCCTTTGATTGAGTATTTGCGGATATATTTTCAGCACTGAAGCAACATGCTTTCGATCCAAACCAGCATTTACCAAACAATCAAACCTCTCTTGGAGCTCCACCCCTTTTCCTCGAAATAATTTGAGAGCTTTCTCCATTTCGCTTGAGTTCTCAGAAAAACCCAAATCCAAAAGGAACTTAGTTTTCATCATTTTGGATCTTAGCTCCTCCTCAGCTATTGGTAACCGTTCAACTTTGGCTCCACGAACCAAATTCCTCAAAAATTCTGGATCCTCCTTGATCACACTACAAAGCCGCTTCTTCCCTGTATTCAGGGTAGTTAGCAAGCTTGCAGCTTTCTTCAAAACACATGAGCCTAGCAATGTAGGGTATGAATGAATAATATTTCCAATCTCTAAGACAGGCATCTCAATTTCAATCAAGAACTGGTAGCATTGCCTCATATTGAAAACAAATGTGGTTATTGGAATTTGTGGTAAGTGTAGAAATACATCAAGTAATTCGGGTTTCTGAATACCAAATTTCAACCAGAATCCAATTAGCGAAAATGTAGTACCTCCGGAACAATCAAACAGAAGACCAGGAACTTGACAAATTAACTTTCCCAATTGTTGATCAGTCAAGCCCAACCCATTCAAGAAGCATATGAGCTCAAATAAGTGGCTCCAATCAATAGAATTTCCATTCAATTGCTCCTCAATCCAACTATATTCAACTCCTGTTTTCTTTAATTCCTCAACAACTTGAAAAAATTCCTTGTGTACATTCCCAATCAAAAGATGAGGACTTGCACTAACAAGCTTAACAACAGTAGACTGATCTATCCCAACCCCGTGAAAAGAAGCAAGTTTCAAGTCCAAAACTCCAGGATCATATCTAAAAACTTCTGGAGCTTCAGCAAAAATCCTTCCTATCTTATTTCTTGAAATACCATAATTACACAAGATGTGATAGTTATCAAGCAACCTATGGTCATCATTCAAAAACATGAGATCTCTAGGAAGAAATGGCAAGTATTGACAAGGTTTCAGGCCAATGCTCTCAAAGAATGGTTCAAATTCATTGATTGGATGATATCGCAAGAATCGAGTTAAAGAACGTCTAATATCATTTTCATTATCAATTCTTTGTAATAAGTTGGAAAGAAAAAAAGGTGAGTTTTTACTCATATGTTCAGCATCCATAAACTGCAAACTTCTAGTGGAATGCAAGTAGTCTAGCAAAGCAGCTTGTGCTTCTTTCTTCACTGCACGAGGTATATGACATTCATCTTCTTCTTGTTTCAATTTAGGTTTTTTAGCAGTTGCATAAAACCTAACCTTTTGGAAGGACCCAAAAAAGGGTTTAGAATTGTTAAAAACATAACCGCATTTGAGAATTAACGGAGCTGTCAGCTTCTGCAAATGCTTCATCATCAATGGATAGAGAAGGAGAAATCTCTCTATGATTTCAAGAAATTACTGGTTTGAGTTGCCAAAGTTCGCACAAAAGGGTTTTGCTGCTGTGCTACTTTTAATTTGGGAGTCGGGGAAATGGTAGCCCTATCAATAATCATAAAAGGGTTTTTTTTTTTTTTTCGATCAAAGGGATAATCATAAAGATTTATTTTTAATTAGATGTTTTGGGTTCGAATTCGTGGTATAGAAAAAATCTTATTGGTAATCGGAGTTTCAATATAAGCTCCAAATATCGGGTGAAAAATAAAAAAAAAACAAACTTAGAATATCTAAAATGGTCCCTTAACTATACATTTATCCCATTTACTTCTTTAACTATTTAAAAAAATTATTAGGTTTGGTTTCTTACCTAAATATTTCCACTTTTTCTCTTTTAGTTGTCCCTAATTACTTGTTCATTTTGACAAATCAAGAAATGACAATTTCTTTTTACATATTATACCCTCAATTAATTACTTTGAAAAATATAGAATTTCTTGAAAATCTTAAATCTTAAATTCATCCACTTCCTAATTAATAGGGGTAAAATGGTAAACTCACTATGCCAATCATTGTTTTCTTAATCGATATGTCAATTCAAAAGTAGACAAGTAATTAGGGACAGAGGGAGTACTTATTGATTTTAGGGGTCGTTTGGTAGAGTGTATAAAATTAATGTTAAATAGAATGTACTAGTAATGCATGTATTACTTGTACTTGCATTAATTATACATTGATTATTTTTATGCATTGTTTGGTTTGATGCATTAAAAATAGAATGCATTGCATTAAAAAATTAAATTACAAAGATACCATTCACTATTACGATGGAAAAGATATAAAAATGGTATTGAGAGACAATTGGGTCTTTAATTGAGTTAATGCATGCATTAAAATCATTGCATTGCTAATACCTAAAAATCCATGGTATTAGCAATACACACTTTAATACACAATAGAGTATATAACTAATGCCAACTTAATTATACATAGGTTGAAAAAATATACCAAATAAGGTACTAGTAATACACAATGTTAATGCATGCATTTTTTTTAACTGGTTTTAGTCATTTAAGTATTGTCAAATTAATTGATGTATAAAATTAAAAGTCGAGTGACATGTCATTTACACACATTTGATAGAAAATAACAAAAATATTTAAAAAATTTAAAAAGTATTTATCACCTTATTTTTTATTGTATTGGAGCAATTTCGACGAGTAAGGGCCGATGGAAAAGTGGCTATTTTATTTTAATTCACTAAATTTTAAAATTCTTTTAATCATACATTATTATTTTATAGTAATACGTTTGTGTTTTAATTAAAAGGAGAATGATAATTATTAGACAGGACTTTTATAGATGCAAATTAATTAAAACATTTGTCATATTATTTTTTCCTAGATATGAATTACTTTACAAAATCATCACGTTATGGACTCCCTAAAATATTTAATTTATAAAATCAATTTTAATAGTTAATATTTAAATTTAAATTTATGGTTTTAAAATTGTCCAATACACACCCACTTTTACACAATCTCTAAATCTATCATATTATCCATTCAGTTTTTTTTTTTAAAAAAACATTTTATTTTATTTATTTATTATAAAAGGATAAACTTCAACCACATATAATTATCCCTAAAATTTCTCACCCACTTGCTTAACTTCCTATTCCAAAAAACTCAACCGTATTATTCCTTAAATTTAACGACATAACTCAATATTTCTTTAGTTTTTCAAGTGAAAAAAAATGCATCTTAATAAAGGAAAGTCAAAGCAATAATAATCCTTATCATTCATGAGAAGGTAAGTTTTTGCGTAATTCCTATCTTTTTCTTCTATTTTATGTGGCTTACATTATCAATATCTGTACTTTATTTTGAAAGATTTAGATCTTGGAGACGATCAATTGGTTTTTAAAAAAAAATTAAAGAAAGATGATTGATTGATGAAGTTGGATCAAGCAAATTCTATGATGAATATATGTAGTTGAAGAAGCAGAAACACTTTCTAGACTATAATTGATAACTATGTCAAGCATATAATATATTTTTTTATTTTTTTTCATCTTATGTTTTGTTTCACAATCAAACTGTGTTGGATGTATTTACATATAATGTATGCTTCTTTATTTATAGCATAATTCATATTTTTTATTTCTTAATTTTATTTATTATTATTTTTTAAATATATGAGTTTTTATATGCAGGTGAATGATGATGGTATTACATATTAATATTTTTTCTTACTGAATCCAAACGTGGATTCATTTTCTTCATTCTAATTTTATTCATTTTATTTTTAATGAAAATTAACACATTAAATTACGTAATTGAAAATAACACATTTTGTTAAGTATATAAAAATTTATCGATAATTATGTCAAATGATGCGCTGATATAATAAATTGAACTGAAAGATAAAATAAATATATATGTTTACTACATACTTCATATTTTTTAATTTTTAATTTTATAATTTAAAATTTTGAATGAGCTGTTTTAAATTAAACATTCTAAATATTACCATGTTTTTTAAAAAAAACAATAATTTTTAATAACAATTAAAATTTAAATAGCAATATTAAAACTTTCCATTACATTCTCACTCATACACATACTCTAAAAAGTGATTAATAAAAAATTAAAAAATCTAACAAAATTATATTACATAAAAAATTATATATATTTGCAAACTCACTAAATATGGTTACTACAAAATAGTAAATCCCATTTTTTACTCTTTTTAATAGCAACTATAAGGTCAATTTTTGTCTCATATGGTGTTATTAAATTAATTCTTTATTCTTTATTAGTACAATCGTATTAATAATAAAATACCTTTAATTATCAGTTAAACTTTTAAACTATTTAAAAGGATATAAATCACAAACAATATATACAAATTACATTTAACAAATCTATTAATTTAAACAATTTATCAACAGTTACATTGTAACAATTTTTTTGATTTTTTCTACATTCTAAATTAATTATGTAATCTGTAAATATTAAATAATTATTAAATAATTAATTACAATTTAAAAAACAAAACAGAAATTTAAAATATTCATTTTAATTAACATGAAAGTGAAAGCAGTTTAAAATATTTTGGATTTAAAAT